CTGATCCGGAGCTCGTCGCTCATTTGAGGGACACGTGCGAGCCGGTGCTGCTGGCAATCGATGGGAGTTGCCTTGTGTCTGCGGTTGCCGCGACCCACCAGCGCGCTGCGTGGGGCGTGGCGTCCACTGAGGGGTGTAAGTTTTCGGGTTTAGTGCCTGATGTTGAACACACGCCTGCTGCCGGGGAGCGAGCTGCGCTCTGGCAAGGCGGCGCACGCTGCTAAGGTGCGGTCTCTCCGTCTGCTGTGCGACAACGAGGGGGTTGTTCTTCGGGTTCGTAGGGGTTTGCTAGGGTCTTGGGAGGGCGATTGCTCCGCCTTTTGGGCATCCATTGCTCTTCTGATCCCTTCTGACACTGGCATAGAGTGGGTGCCGTCTCACGGCAAGCTTGCGCAGTGGCAGCCGCCGCAAGGGTGGCCTCCGGCTTCTCTGTGCCGTCTGTACAATCAGTGGGCGGATGAGGCGGCTGGCGCCGTTACGAAGGGGTTTCATCCTGAATTTGCTCAGGCCGTTGGAAGAATCAGCGAAGGAAGACATTGGGCCGAGACTGCTTCCCTTTGCCAGTGGCGTGCCACGACTAAGGCTATGGAGGCAGTGCGCGGGCTTTATGCTCATGATTTTGCCAGGGAGATTTTGGCCATTTCGCCCACTGAAGGTGGCGCGGATGGACCGTGTTAGCTTGGCATTATGCACTTCCGGCGCTTCGGCGCTGTGGGGGCGGAGAGCTACCTTTCGGGGAGAAGGCTACCGTCCGACAGAGATCATCATCATCATCATCATCAGCCTTTCTCGTTCGCTGATGTGGTGCGTGGTGGAGCCCGTGTCGGCTCAGCCTCACGTCCCTCTGCTTTCCGGCTTGACCCAAAAGGGTGGGATTGCGCTGTTCGGTCTTTGCGCTCTCTCCGTGAGCCCCTCAAAGAGCCTCTCAAAGGACTTGTTGTTGTTCCTGTGTACACCGCTGAGGCTCGTGACGAGGTTCTGTCTTGGGCCCGTGCGTCAACGCCTCCCGTTGCCGTCACTTGCGCTGACTTCGCTTCTGACCCGAAGCAGGCAGGCGATGGTAAGACCTTTCCTGCTTTGGTGACTTCCGCGAGCTCTTCGGGCCCTTCGGTGCGGCATGCGCTCCTGCGTGACTTATCTACCAATGGTGCTCAAGGGCCTCGGCCCCTCGACCTTGCTTGCAGCGAAGAGTTGGATGACGACGTTTCTACCGACCAAGCTGTTGCGAAGTGGGTTGTTTTCCGGCTCACACGTGCTAAGCGTTACTGCGACGCCGAGCGCTTTGCAGCGGCTTCCAAGAAACCGGTGTCCCTGCCGAACCTTCTGCTTCCTGCAACGGCGTCCCGAACAGTTGTCCGTACGTGCGCTGTTGCTGCCTACGATTCTGAGGTCACCTGCTTGGTTCGTGTGCGCGAGGGCGACGCCGAGTCTTTTGCGCCGTGTGCCCGCCAGCTCCCTGTTGGTGTTTTCCTCGATTACCAGCGAAACCCTTTGCAAATTGTCAAGTGGTTCCAGCGGTCCCCTGGGCAGGCCGACCAAGGGTTTCACAAGGACGCTGTTGCCTCCCTTGCCAAGGCCCCTGCCTCCTGCTGCTTGGCCCTTCCGCTCCTGCCACTTGGGTTGTTTCGGACGCCGAAGGTTGGCTTCAGGTGCACGGTTTCAAGGGTGCTTACAATGTTCAGCGTGCTGGGTCCCGTGCTTGGACTTTCTGTGCCTGGTCTAGCCACCCCACGCCTGGGCCCAAAGTTTTCTCGTCTGGCATCGCCGTTGCCCCTGCGGTCAATCGCCAACGGCGTAAAAAGACGCAGACCTGCTCTACTTCCACTCCTGTTTGGGGTGTTGCTAGTTTGCCTAAGCACGCGCCGGTTCCAGCCGTGGCTCCGCTTACTTCTGCTGCAGCTTCTTTTCAGCCGTCTGCTGCTGCCGCTACGCAGCTTGACCCCTCGCAGCAGTCTGAGGCTCAGCCTGATGCGATGATGGCTTCTCATGAGTCTGCCAGTGTCGGTGCTGCTAAGCGTGGCCCTTCCGAGCTTGAAGTGTCCGCCGCCAAAACCTCCAAAGGCTCGCCTGCACCAAGGCCACCAATGCCTTTTGCTGGCTCCTTTCGCTCCGTCGAGACAGGCTACTGCCCTTAGCGCTCAGGGAACTTGGGCCGACACGCCCTCTCTTTACGCCCTTGCCAAGGCTTTGAAAGTCCAGCTCAGGATTTTTGCCTTCTGCAACACCGCCAACCTCTGGCGGCAGTACGTTGTCGGCGACAACCGTGCTACTCCCCCACCTAAGAAGCAGAAGCCTAACTCAAAGGTGAGCGTTGTTTGGCTTGAGCTCCTTGACCAGCGCTACAAATGGCTGAAGCCGCTCGAGTCTGACCACCACGTTGAGCAAGCTGTGCTGTCCAGCGCAGTTAAAGTTGCTACTCCTGCTGCCTTCTCCAGTCTCTTTTCGCTCACAGGGGGAGGATTTTCCTCGGGCTCTCAAACGTCAGGTCGCACTCCCAGACGCCTTCTCGGTCTCCGCGGCTCTTCTGTTGCTACCTCTTCGACCTCTATCAAGCTTGCTGCGTCTTCCGGTCAAAGCTGCTGGGTTTGAGGCAGCCCGCCCGAGACTCTGACTTGTCTGACTCCCCCTACTCGCGTGGTGACCTGTTCAAGTGCGCGTGTGGCTGGACTCCCCCGCTCGCTGCCTCCAGTAGCGTGTCAAAGAATGCTGCTGTGCAGCACTGGCGCGCCTGCCAAGGAATCCGACCCCCGTCGCAGACTGCGCAGGACGTGCGGCGACGTGTGGCTTTGTCTGGCATGCTCAGTCCTGAAGCTCGTCAAGCCAAAGCTGCTGCTGCTCTGAAGGCTTACCGCCGCTTCGTTTCGAAGCTTAAGGCCAAAAAGTGGACTTCCGCCGCGTGCGAGCTCCTTGAAGATACGCCTTTCACCGTGTCTTCTGTCAAGGCCAAGTCCCCTCGCTGCTCTACTGTGTACCAGTGTGCCAAGTGCGGTCGGGGTGCCACTCTTGGCGTGTGTCGGGAGTTCCCCTGCAAGGCACGCCCTGCCATCTCCGTGTACCAATGGAGATTGAAGACTCAAGGCCGTGAAGCTGTTGAGGCCTTTGCTGCTGACTGCCCGCGCGGCCTCGTCGTCGTGACTAGGCTCTCCCTCTAAGCGATTTTCCTTTGACCCTCTGCTTGGGGGTGCCGACACCAGCCAGTCCCAGGTGGAAGCTGTGTCCTTGCTTACTGTCAACGTGACCTGCCTCACCAATGACCGCCTCCTTGAAGTCTTGCGTGCTGCTGAGGCCTCTTCGGTGTCGGTGGTGGCTTTGCAAGAGACTCGTCACGCCAAACCTCTGCTGTGGGCTTCTAAGTTGGCCAAGCAGTCCGGTTGGTTGTCTTGCTTCAGCTCCCCTGCTCCGGTGCAGCGTGCACACAGTGTCCGCCAGGGCGGCTGCGCTTTGTTTTGGCGCAGTCGGCTTAAGACTTCTCCCTTCCAAGTTGACCTTGCTCGCGACAAGCAGCACCATGTCTGCGACCGTGTCTTCAGCAGCTGCGCTGTTGTGTCCTTTTACGGTGACGCGTCTGTTGCTGACGTTCCTACGGTGTCCGCTGTTTTCCGTGAAGCTGTCGCCCTCCAGAGACCTTGCATTGTTTTGGGTGGCTGTGTCTTGCGTGCAAGGTTCTGCGCTAGCTTGCCCTACGCGGGCCGTTGACTTTGGGTGTAACAGGCCTCTGTGTCTTCGATGCCCCTGCCTGGCATCATCACGCTGTTGTGGTTTCCACTGCGTGGCAGTGCCTTTTGCTGGCTCTTTTCGCTCCGTCGAGACAGGAGGCCAAGGGGATTGCGCTTATACCTCTGTGGCCACTGCGTTGGCCAAGCTCGGGCGTACTGATGCTCAGCCTGGCGATCTCCAACCAGCCGGCAGGCTTCAAGGCTACCTCCACTGCGAAGCAGCCAAATGGGTCCGTGGTCACGCCTCTGACTTTGGAGGTCCTGACCCTGCTCCTAACCGCCTTCGGGATTAAGGTTGTTGCAGTCAAACACATTCATTCATAGGATTTCAAGAGCGTGTGGGTTTACGTAAGGACTTGGTGTCGGGAAAGCCCAGGTAATGCATCAAGGTCGGTGTTTAGAGTATGCTACCAAGATTCAACTTGGTCTCAAACCCTAAACCTTAAACCGTTCTGCCTCATTAGGAGTTAGAGATTCCCGAATTTAGCGTTGGCCTGGTCATCCCTGGCCCCAAACCCGAACGATCCTGGCCGGACCTAGCTTGGCGCAAAGCAGGACCCGGAAAGTTGGAATTCCCTAATGGTTGACGCAGCGTGAAACACCACTGCCATTCGACCCGAAACAAGAGCCTCCTAATCGCCATCCCCTTTTTTAGGTTGCTTGAAAAAAAGCAGAACCCTGACAAGTGTAGTTCTCCACTAGCTTGACGCAAAGCCAGACCCTGCAAATTGTAATGCCCCACTAGCTTGAAACAAGACAGGAGCCTCAAACTTGCAATTCCCCAATAGCTTGATGCCAAACAGCAACAAATCCTGCAATTCACTTTTTTTGACAGAAGACCGGAGCCTCGAAATTGCAATCGCCGAATAGCTTGCGGGAAACTGTCACTCTGCGAACTGCAATTCCCCAATAGCTTGCGGCAAAGCGCCGCCATCCAAATTGCAATTCAGGCAATAGCTTGCGGCAGAACGCTACCATGCAAAGTGTAATTCCCCAATAGCTTGCGGCAGAAGGCCATGATGCAAATTCCACTTCCCGAGTAGGTTGCGGCAGAACGCCACCCTGCTACTTGCAATTCCCTAAAAATTGGCTTGACGCAAACAGTAACAAATTCTGCAATGTACAGTATGTGTAACCAAAAAAGAGGAGCCAACGTTAGCAAACGAGACCGAGGACCGCCACCGTTAGGACAAAAAATACCTCCGCCGGGCCTTGCACGAGGGGAGATGGCCGTCTTGCACACTTAGCTTGGTTTGCGCTGCTCTGCTCAGCTTCGTACCTCAGGGATGCCGCGAAAGAGCTCTATCAGCGGATTTGCGAGGAGAGCTGAATGAGTCGTGTTGAAGTCCGGAGTGAAAGCAGCCTAGATGGACACTCAGCAGGACTGGAAGTCTTTGCTGTCGCGCACCAAGCTGCCTCCGCGGGAGCCGTTGGCCCAGACCAGACTGCGGATAAGAATACTCGTGTGTTTGTTCTGCCTTGTTCCCGCCAGAGCTCAGGCTGGGTGCCTGGTTGCATGTGACTTTGATGAGATGTCCACACGTGGGCCGTCGCTTGGTCGAAGACTTCCCAGAAGTTGCTCATGCCGTCACTTTTGGCTCTGTCTGAGGAAGTCTGTCTAACGAGACGGAGCGAGCAGACTTTGAGTTAAATTTCCAGGCCAGCTTCGATCGTGGAGCTCTGCTACTAGTACGGTTTTGCGTTTCTTGCAGTTGATGGTAAAGGTTGAGGAAGTCTCACATGCTGACCTAGATGACTTTCCCATTTCGGGCAGCCTCTGAAACTTGGTTCGAAGGGATGCTGATCAGCCGACACATGACGCGGGTTGTCCCTTCATGTTGGAGAGACACAACCTGCAAACCGGTACAACGTTCGAAGCATGTGCAGGTTGCCTCCGAGCATGCTTTTACGGCTTGTGCGCAGCAGCACGAGGAGCCGCATGTTCAGAGTTGTCTGAAGACTTTCCAATAGAGCATGCTGCGCAAACGCAAGCGGGTGCAATCTGATTTGATCCGCATTTTCTGCTTTTGGATGCAGTTGGTAAACACGACCAGCTGAACAGGACCGGAAGAAAATGGATGTGGGCACAGACTACACGGCAGCAGCATGTATGGCCTTGGGCGACAAAGCTTGGCGCGAACTTGGCGCACCTTGCCTAGTTTCTGTCTACTCGTGCTAGCGACGAGTCCAAAGTTGAAAGGCGATCTGACCTGATTCTTCTGTTCTGTCTAGTTGCTCCAACATCAAACTGTTCATACTTCCAAATTCAAGGACAACTGGGAGAAGAGTCTCTACGAGACTGTGGCACCTGGGCTTGTCGTTTGTCGCTGAAGGTTGTGTTTTTTTGGTCCGGTGTGTTGCCACCTTCAATTCAGGAAACGGCCTTGCCGTGCATTCTGTGGCACGGTCGCCAGCCTGCCGGTCTAGCAGATTTTGAGCGGAGCTTCATGTCTTGCCAAGGTCTCAGCTTGCCGTTGTAGGAAATGCAGCACAGTCGATTGTCGGCTCGTGTTTTCGAGAGGGTCCAATGCTCCCTACTCGCAGACAACACAAGGTAACGAGAACGCTGTCCGCCGGCCAGTTTTGTCCGTGATGCTCAAGGAGCAGAGGCGTTCCGGCGTTCCCTCAGCGTCACTTGCTTGTGTCTGGCGGACGCCTGCGCAGGCGCCTCACAGCGCTCAAGGCTCTTCCGGCGGTGCTGGCCTGGCATGCGGTCCTTTTCGAGGCCGAAGCCGATCCAAGACAAAGAGACAGGAAGAACTCGATTCTCCCCTGGAGGCCTTCGAAGACTACGGCCTCCTTCGCCTCCGCTTTAGACAACTTGTGATGACGGTCCGGTCTGTTTCACTCAGCTGACTCACCGAGGAGAGGAGGCCCGGCAGCTCACGAACTCTGAAGCTATCGCTAGGCCAGGACCAGGAGCTTCCGTGCCTCTGCGGCGCCTTTTTTTGCTCTGGCGAGGCTTCCGGAGCACCGCCGGGCCCATGCGGAAGAGTCGCTCAAGGAGTTCTGCCGCTACTTCAACGTGGCTTTCCCGCTGGTTGAGCGCAGCCTGGCTGGGGCAGTGATGTGAAAAGAGGAGGCTGGTGCATCCTTCCAGCCGAGGTCTCTTCGAGTGCGAGGCCAACCCGTTCCTGCAGCAGGGCAAAGTTAACCTGCCGGGGCCAATGACGCAAAGCGGCAAAGGGCAGCAAAGCAGAAACCGCGGTGCTGAGATTATCAGCAAACTTCACCAGCATGGGCTTGCAGATTTCGGAAGAGCCCGAGAGTCGATGTCCAAAGGACACCCGAGACACCCGTGATCTTCTCGTTACCCTACGTGGCACCATCTGGTGAAACAGAGGCCCGTGACAACACGCCCTCGGAAACTGTTGCAGTTCTTGTCATGTGCCATCTGCTTCCGGGAGTTTCGAGGCCTCCACCCTCTGCACAGTGCAGCTTGCCAACGTCTTGCAAACCGCCCAAAACGACTTGGTCGAGGACTGGCGGTCTGCGAGAAGAGTTCTTCACTCTATCACACACCAGGAATGCAGCCACAACCTCACATCATGTGTCGTCACACCGTTCCGAGGTTTCCGCACTGAAGTCTCATTTCATGCTGGCAGCTTGTTCTCCCAAAGGCAGTCGAGGCAGCCCTCGGCATCCAAACGGAGAACACCCCGGCGCTTTCGGCAGGGATGCCAAGGGGGGGAAGTCGGGTTTTGAGATTTTTGACCTCCGGCTTCGAGCGCTCACGGCAAACCGTTGATCCTGGAGGCTCTGAACGTTGTACCGGGGTCTGGGTTCGCCATGTGAATGTCAGAGACAGAGGTCAGCGCAGCCACGGAGCCCAAAGTTGTGGCTTCCCTGTTGGCATCGCTGGCCCCTGGGCGAAGTCTTCAGTCCACAGGGAGCGCAAAGATTCGATGGTTATCGATTGAATCCGCGGTGAGCTGGGAACCAAGGATCTTCGGTCTGACTTGCTGCCTTTATTGCACCAGAGCCGGAAAGAGACAGAATCTCTAGCCTCCGCGGCATACGACCTGGACGCTCGAGCCGAGTCAGTGTCGATGTGGACTTGGCATTCGCGTGCCCGATTTGAGCCCTCGCCATTCATGCGTGATGCAAGGATCAGCTCGAGGAAGCATTGACGCAGCATTTCCGAGGAGCTGTCCGTATCCAGGCACCGCGCTGAGCTGCAGACTGACAAGTCATGCCAACATGTCCTGCGATGACAAAAAGCAAGGTTCAGCTGCGCCACTATCGCTTTGGTGGAGAGTTGAAGGACAGACTTGGCAGGTCTAAGAACAGGCGGTTCTCATGCCGATGCCGGCAGGGACGGTTTTGCCCGGGATGTTGGGGGTGTCTCAGCTGGCTCGAGCTCAGGTCATCTAGTAATTAAACAGCGCATCAACGCACAAGCATCGTTGAAGCTGCCATGCCCGCCACGACGAACTTCCGTCGCCTGGCTGCTTTGTTGTTGCTGCCAGTGCAGTTCGTCCAAGCGGAGCAGTGTAAATCTGCATCTTACACCTACTGTTGCGAGCTGGGCACGCCATGTGATTGCAAGAAAGGAACGACTGCCCCTGGCCAGTGTACACCGGAGTCATTTGGCTTTTGCTGCAGCATTGGCACGCCCTGTGATTGTTCGCAGCCACCTGAGCAACCTCAGCATGTTCCTGCGGAGCCTGCACGAGTCTCCAACGTGTCACTTCCCGCCCCTGCCCCTCGGAACAAGAACCTCCCTGCGCACCAAAACTGCGCAGCACCCGGCGACTGTGGCTTGGCCTACGAAGCCTGCTGTGCCGGCTTTGCGGCCAAAGGCTTTCCGTGTGACTGTCAGTTGAAGGATGATGGGCACGGAGAAGCTGGATCAAGCTGTGGCGACTGCGGGGCAGCATATGCAGCATGCTGCGCGGGCTTCAAGGCTCAAGGATCTGCCTGCACCTGCGACGTCGAGCCCAGCCAGTCTGAAGCCGCAGTTGTGGTTTGAGTCTGAGTCGCACTACGGAGGGAGGTGTGACACGCTGCAGCTAGTAGCTGCAGGCAGTCCGCCTGTGGAAGATGCTGAGGTAGCAGACAATTCTGTTGCTTGGACAGCTAATGTCTGCGAGAGCTTCGAAAGAATCCGAGACCGCCTGAATGAACTTGATGTGGTTGTGCCCGCACTTCGCAGCACCCGTTTTCGGGAAAGAGCCTGTCTGCAGGACTCGGGCCGTCTGGCAATTCTTCGGCAACGGCTTCCGCAGCAGCCTTTGCCCTTCGGAATGGTGGAGGCCAGAACTGCTCATGGGGGTTAGCCACAGCCACAGCATGCCACAGCGGCCGGGGCTCAACAGAGATGCCAGAGAGAGCAGCAAGTGAGAGGAAGGCCGAACCTACCCTCGAGCCTCGAGTTGATGCAAGAAGAAGAAAGTCCCCGCTCAACTTCGGCATTCACTGAGGGAGTGTCTTAGCCAACTGAGGTGAAAGCAGCACGTTTGAGCAGTGTGGCCAGGGCAGGTGGCGGGGTCCGGGGTGGGCAACTTGAGTGCATGCTGATTCCCCGAAACCGAGAAAGGGAGAGAGAGAGAGAGAGAGAGATAGACAGAGAGAGAGAGAGAGAAAGAGCAGAGTTTGCTTCGTTCGTGGGAGGAGTTGCGGCGAGAGCTGGAGCGACGGGGCGATGCTGATGAGGCTTTGGTGCACATCCGAACTTGAGCAAACCTTGATGTCGTGGCCTTCTGAGACAGGCAACGCTGCAACTGCGTGCTCTCGTCGAGGACGTCATTAACCTTTGATGCCCGACCAAAGTCAGTATGCATTTTTTTGGTTAGAGAGAAGGTTTGTCATGAGGGCTCGGGTCCACAAGCGAAGGTCTTTCTCTGGGTGCTCTCGGCAAAGCTGGCCGTGCTACAGTTGCGTGGCGAAGCAGTTCAGGGTCGTTCGAAAGGTTTATGCAAACTCAGCCACCATCGAACGTGCCCAACTATCGGCTTTTGTCACTTGCCGTTGTGAGGTTCATGCAGAAACGCCACTAGCGGAGTTGGTCGATGCTTCGGCAGACGGGGCGAAGCTGCCTCAGGCACGGTCGGAGCGGCACGTAGGTGTCATGCCAAGCTTGGCTTTGGTCAGGCTTTTGAGGGTTGTAAGATGCTGTAAGTTTTGTGGGCATCCATCACCAGTCTCGGAAGGCTCTCCACAGCCGGGCTCGGCTTTGTCACCTGCAAGATCTGCGCTGCCCTCAAATCAGAAGCAGCTTGTAACAGTTTGAGAGTGGCTTGTGTCCTACCTGGGATCCAGGTACATGGAGCTCGTGGCATCCAACCATGCGGGCGACTCTCTAGCAGCGGTTGCACTAGCATACCAGGAGAGAGCGCAGTGCGTGTGCGCGCAGGTGCGCGAGTGTTTGTCCGGATTGGAATCATTATATATATATATATATATATATATGTATATGTTATGTGCGCGCACCTGCGAGCTTCCGATCTTTTGTGGTCAGCAGAGGTAAGATCAAGCATGCACGGGGTGACCCAACGAAGCTCGCACCACACCAGGAGAGCAACAGAACGTTCCCTCTTCATACATGGCTCAAAGCGGATGAGCCCCCAGTGGCGTGCAAATCAGAAGGTGGCCTCTGTTGCCACAAGACTGATGCTTCTCTGTATAATACCTCTGCAATCTGCTAGACTATGCCACAACAGCAACTCTGCAAAGCAAGCTGCCTGTTACGATCATGGATGGTTCGAGCTGAAGACCCATCATGCGGTGGAATGAAGGGCCTTCCTACCGTGGCCCTGGGCTCACCCCGAAAGCACGCTCAGCCAAGCGAGGAGCCTCTGGAACCAGCAGCAGCCGCCGCCTTGGCCGCCTCTGCAACGGAGTTGGCGGAGTGGCGGCCGGTGCGCTCCGAGAGACGGAGAGGGATGAGAGGGATGAGAGGGATGAGAGGGATGAGAGGGATGAGAGGGAGCAGAGCAGCGGAGATCAGCGGGGCCCCGCAAGGTGTTGCATGACCTCCTTGCCGAGCAGCACCTGGGAGAAACTGGGTCCAGGCACTGCGAGAGAAAGATCCCACGCACCCCGCTGCCAAGGCTTATTGTCGACCGCTGGCCAGCAGGTGGGAAGTGCACTGCAAGCCGAGATTCAGTAGCTCAAGCGCATTGGCTTGTCCCTGTCCGTGGAACGAGAGGCTCCTCATTGAAGGAGTTCTTGGAGTTCGCTGCAGGTGCGGCGCTCAGCCCAGGCCACGATGGCCTTCGAACGTGCGCAAAGCGTGGTATAGAGACAGTGACTCAGTGATGAGGCGAGCCTCCTCCGGACTGCTTCCCGGAGTCCTTGGAGCTTCGGCATGCCCTCGCAGTATATCGTTCGCTGGCGGCTGCGCTGGCAAGTTAGAGAAGATCAGAAGCTTCGGAGCCAGCAAAGCTCCAAAAGCTCCAAGCTCCATCAAAGCTACAGCGTCTTCAAGTTCAACGGCAGACGACACCGTGCAGACTGTCATCAGCTGTCGGCGAGGATCCTCGAGGCTCGGTGTGTGGCTGAGGATCGGATCTCGAACGGCCAGTCCGGCTGTTACCTCTGTGTACATGTGACTGCTGCCTGCAGTGCCTACCAGCGTCGCCAAGATGGCTACACGCATGGTACGTCCCAAACAACCTGGAAGACAGAGGCTAGAGCGAACTATGAGCTATTGCCGAAGATGATTCGTTGTCTGTCATTGATCATGGACCCCTTTCTTTACTCGATGCCTTCTGCAGCTTCGGGTGGTGTTGGGTATGCATTGATTGTGTACAGATTGATTGAGCGATCAAAAGTTTGGACTGCACCAGGTTTCAAGACCAGTTGTCACCGACATGTACTCGTAGCAACACTATTGATGCAAGACGTTCACAGAAGGAGATGTGCGCAATCCGCAGTGGAGAGGGGTGCCACGCTGGACATCTCTCATTACCCACCTTTCGCCTGCAAGCCGCAGCTTCGATCCCAAGACTCGATCGGGCAGAGTGGCCCAGCATCCTAGCCCTGAGGATCATGGAGACCGCCAGGCCTGATGTGTTTCGTGCTTCCACTGCGGAATGCACCATTGAGCTCCACTATACTGCAAGCAGTGTGCACCACTGCTCGAGTTTCTGCTCACAGAGTATACAACAGTCATTGAGCCTGCCAAGCTGTGTGTGAGGAGCTCTGCGATCACAGGCGCTGTGTCCGCGTGGCCTGCGCAGGCCCGGTTTGCTCAGCCCTTGCTCTAGCGGTACAGGTTTTTGCGCGAAAATCTGTTGTACGTTCGGCAGGAGGCCTTTGTCACTGCCCCTTTACTTTCCCAGGCGCGCGAGAGTTGCATGACTTCCTGCAAACAAGTGAAGGACGGCTTCCGTGATCGGTGGGTGTTTTCGCCGTGCCAGGATGCACGAAGGCATGCCGCTGGTCAGCGACTGGGTGTTCTCCGCCGCAGGGTTGTCCTTTCAAGTCACGTGATTAGAATCGATTTACTTGCATCTGCATGGACCGACTAACAACACGAGGCACAAGCCGTTCGTGTAGCTATTTCTGGTCCAAGCTCGCTGCCCACGTGGTGCCATGCTGCGGCTGCAAAGTGTGTCTTGTTGCACTGATTGCTCGTCCGTGGAAAACCCTAGTTCCGAATCCCTGAGACAGTCAAGTCTGCTTGAAATGACACAGAAGTCATCGAGGCAGCACGGGACTCCTTGTGCTTCTGCCGGCAAACCAAAAAGCTTGGTGCTACGGTCGCAAGGAGTGCGACTCACGTCGACTTGCGTCTCTTGCTATGTCAACTTGCTGCAGGTAGTGTCCTCTGGTTGAGGCGCACTGGCTACTGGCTACTGCATGCATCTGCACGCTTGGCGCGTGAGGTCAGACTGTCGGCAGGGAAATGTTCAACCAGACTGGGACAGGTCTTTCAGCGTCGTCAATGATTCGGACGTGTCGGTGCAGCAAAAGGTCGTTTTCACAGCGGAGCAGCTTGGAAGAGAAAAGAGCGGAGAATGGTTGTGGCACATGCCTCGAGTACTTCAGACAAACATTGACATTGGAACATGCTCCGTCAGTGCTGAAAGCGAAACGAGGAAGCCAAAAAGATCAGCTGAAGACACGCAGAAGGCCATCAGACATGCCACAATGCTGATGGCTGGCGGCATGGGCTCAGCATTCATGGGAGCCTTTGGCTTTCAGAGAGAAAACGAGAGAGCGAGAGAGGGGGTTTGAGCCCCCAGCGAAGCAAACAAAAAAAGAGAGATGTGAAGAGAGATAGGCCCCTGAGAGTATCTCCGATGGGATTTCCACAACCCTGCCAGGACATGCAAGCGTGCGTGCGCGTGCGAAGGGGGTCCGCCTTCCCTCTTGCCTGGAAGGAGAGAGAGAGAGAGAGAGAGAGAGAGGGGGATCCATGCTGCTCAAACTCCCCTCCCGATATGTCTCGCTTTGTGCTGGGGGAGCAGCGTGGTGAACCACAGTCACAGTACAGCTGAGCCCCCAAAGAGAAATGCTTTGGAGGGGTGAGACCTCCCGCGACAAGCGGGTGTGCGCGCGCGCACGGGGTGATCGGCCTGGACGCTGCCGTGATCCCCAAGCCCGGAAGAGAGAGAGAGAGAGAGAGAGAGCCCGAAAAACTGATGTAGTCTCGCTGCCTGACTGCGTTGGAGTGTTTACTCTCTGCCGAAGGGGAAAGGATGTGAGGAAGCGGCTGCTAGACCAACCCCAAAAGGGGCCCTGACAGACACGAAGTGGGAAGGGGGGGCAGCAGGCGTGAGCGGCAATGGGTTCGGCCCAAAGCCCTTGCAAGCAAGCAAGAGAGACAGAGTGGTTCAGGTTGCAGGCACAACTCGCAAATAGGGTTTCCGCTGGCCGCAGAGCTTAAATCGCTTCCTATGCCCTGCAAATGGTTTGACTACGCACCATCGGCAAGCTGCTCTGCTATGCCAAGAATGCACTGAGGAATGGCACCATTCGCCAGCCCCAATTTCTTCATGATAGGCCTGGGCGCGACTTCGTACGGTTTCAGCATTTGGCGTGTCCGTCTTCGTCGCGTCTTGTCGTTTCTGCAGTCCGAAAGGTTGATGTGGGGTGCGAAAGGGTATCACTGCGTCTCGGACATGTCCAGGTGGATCAACGGATCTCACTCACAGTACTTCTCAGCGAAATCGTTTTTGATATTTCGCCGGGAATGCCTCGAGTGCAGGCTTACTGGCGGCCATGGTCCAAGTGCACTTCGGCTATGGGTACATGCAGCGGATATACTGGACACAGAGGAGGCGATACGTTCTGAAGATGGAGAGAACGGAGGACGGTTCTTGTTCTTGTAGCTGCTACCAGCAGCCGCTCGTAGCATGACCGCCGCACTCCAATCCATCTTAAGTTTCTGTGTATCGGTGTGCAGGATGCCAATGGTGTCGTCGTCGCCGGACTGCAAAGTCTTACTTCAGCAGTCTGAAGACCTAAATTCTCCAGTGTCTGCTGCTGATTGCGTTCGGAAACACCACCTTGACTCTTTAAAGACGGGGAGCAGAAGTGTCGTCGCTAGTGCCAGCATCTCGCATTTCTGCTGACTGATCTGCCAGACAGTCACGGTGAACTGCGATGCCGGCGTCACGCGAAAATTCGAGCTGACCGATGAGGCTGCCTCCAAGTTACAAGTGATGTCTAATGTCTGGTGCTGCGTCGGCCTCGACTACAATTGAAAGGACTGCACAACGCAAAAACACCCGTATGTATCATACAGTAATTCTATGTAATTCTCCTGCAAATGCTCGCATATCTAGTTCTTGTTTGCTGAGTTCATTCCCGTCATTTGATGTCGTCGCAATTCATTCCCACATCGGTTGGGGTGCTGCTGGTCTCAACGTGCTGAAGGAGTCCCACCACACACTGTGGCACAGCTTCATTGCGAGTAGAGCAGTCATCATGAGTTGACCGGCTAGAGTTAAAGTGCAGTACCAAGAACCCTTCGCAGAATCATTGCACTGTGCCAATACTGCATGCAGGGTTATGGTGTCCCTTGCCCGAAATCTTGTAAAGTCGTTGAGGTAAGGTCTGTCTCGTGGGTCTGTGCCAGGCCGCGACTGGCCAGAACCCTTCTTTGAAGGCTTCTTGGATCTCCATTGACAGCGAATGTAGTACTCGGCTGCAGTCACCATGGCATGTAGGCACTGGCTGCACTAAGGAGATCATAGAGAAGGGCGGCACCTTCATGTTCATAGATAAGGAGGCAGGCGAAATCCAGGATGCAGAGGCTGGGGCACACGCTGCTCCCTGACAGAGTGACGTATTGAGGGCGAGCACCGTTGCAGAAGCCGACACTTGCCCATTCCTAGGATTGGCTACAGGAACAAACATGTGCAAGTGCAGAGCTGGCCGCCTCCCCTGAAGATGCTGGACACACTCCTCCAGTCTGACCGCGGAATTCGAGACGAAAAGGCAGGGAGGCTTTGCTTATAGTGTGTTTTGACAGCCTGGCGTGTCGGCACTGCATCATGTGGACGCTGGAGGTGACAGCAGAGCCTGTCCAAGCCTTAAACTTCAAGCATTGAGTTGTCTCTGCCGTCTCTTGGACCTCTGGTGATTTACGCAGAACTTGCCGTCGCCGTGCAGGTATGCAACATCTCAGAATGCTGGCCATTTGGTGTTGTTGCACTGAGGTGATGGAAGAAACAAAGGAGCAGTCGCTCAGGACCGTCAAAATCTGGGGCCTCGACCGGCTTCGAAAGTGGCGTAGATGCTCTTCCTTAGCGAACGCAGAACCTGCATGGATTGAAATATGACAACATGCTGTTTCGACTGTCCCGCAAGCTCAAGCGAACCACTTCTCGCTTCATGAACTATTTCGTTGAAGCGGAGCCATGCTCGCTGCTGGAAGTTCGCAGATACACAGATGCACCACAGAAAACACGAAAAAGCAAGCTTCAGGCAAAGCACAGCCGGCAAGGCACCAAGCCGACCAGTCAGACCGACTGGAGGTAGTGCCATCGCTGCCACGACTGTCCGGTCAAATTTAGCGTCAATGCATGTCATTGCCCTCGGGAGTGTTTGTCCCGAGATGGGTGTCCCAAAATAGGTAGATGGCAGTTGCCGATTGCATATCGGCCGCCATTGGAGGTGCTAGCAATTGCTCCCTCGCAGAGGTGGTGCAGAGCGTATACTCTTTGCACCATTGGCCTTGAGTTGTCTGACTTCCTGAGCTCACAGTGTACGGGGCTACTTACCTAAAGCAGCACCTTCCTGTGCAATGGCTTGACAAGATGTTCAGCTTGTTGCAGGATCGTCCAAAAGTTCGAGGAGTTAACTCGAGAGCAACATGCCTGCAGCAATGCTCAGCAGGGGAACAGATGTCGGGCGGTAGCGCAGCAAATCAGAAGATGTCCACCCCAGAGCATCGGTTTCTTGCTATGCGACCAGGCACCTTGAAAAGATTCCAGAGCAGGACTCGCGCCGGTCAACAAGAAAGAATGTGACAAGGGCTGTTTGCGTGAGCATTTCATTTGCGAATGTTACACACAGACCATGGCTTGGATGCGTGATGCTCGGCTGCATCACTGCATGACCTGATCACATACACAGGACAACAAGTCTTCACCACAGGAGGCCACAGAGGGCCGGCCTTGACTCCCTGTGACCATTCTCGAACTTTGCCAGGGCCTGCGCCAGCTGGAGAGGACGGCGCAAATGGTCGGTTCTGGCTGCATGGTCGGTGGGCTGCTCATTTGGGCTGAGCCCTCAGCTCGAAATCGATGTCTCTGTGCAGCATCTCGCGCCTCTCTCTATCGAAGGCAAGACATGCTACTGGTACCGAGACGGCCTTTCTCCCTCTTCATTTGTGGTGTTCGGATTGTGGTCACTCTTTCTACGTCTCGTTTTGTCGCCGTGCTATGTTTCGTTCGGCTTCATAGAGAACTCTTTGCTGCGGGCTTCTGCATCTGCATTCGAGGTGCTGGGCGATTGGAGCGCACAAGCCGCCATCCGAGCGGCTTCAGAAAACTACAAACCTCAAGCTACATTGTCACCGGAGGGGGTGGATCCTCCGCAGATGCGCGGCAGCAGAGCAGTTCAATGAGACTGCAACTAATTCTTCGGGCTCTGGCAAAGTACGCAGATTGCCTTTCAAACCCAGGTCCCGTAAGAATGCGTGCTGTTTAGAGCCCCTGCCTCTCAAGCTTACAGAGGAGAACACCATGGTGACGTGACCTTACCGTTTCTCTTTTATACCCCATGCCTAGGCCAAAACAACACGCGTGTACAAACGCCTCTCTTGGAGTCGCAACTTCATAGTCCCATCGTTGGAATTTCTACACTTCCCAAGTTTGTGCAGCTGACGCTACGCACAGCCATGCTGCGTTCAAAGAGTTTCATCGACAGTGTTATGAAGATGTGGCTCCGGAGAGAGATAGAGCGACAGCGGGAGAGGGTGTGTGATCAGCCTGTGAAAGAATCAGAAACGGAGGACAGCCGAATCATGGCACAGTTCTGTTCAAGGAGGCTCCTTGCCGGTGCCCCCCCACGCAGGCGTGGCTTCCAACTCCACGAACTGGGCTCCGGCCTTGGGCGTCGCGGCCGCTGCGACGGCGGTGGCCGCCAACCGGCGCCAAAGCCGGCCCCGTCCCCGGCGTCCCCGGAAGCGGATGCACCGGACTGCACGTCAAAGTCGCTTGCAACACCAGTTCGTGGCTAGCATGTGCTACTCCGCTATTCGTTCTGCGTCTTGACAACCTTGTCTGTCTGTGTTGCGGAGGCTCAGCCGCCGAGCAGTTGGTGAGCGCAGTGAGGCTTCCCGCCAGCCGAAGACTAGCAGGCATCGGATCAGCTTCAACGGGAGGTTCATCGCGTTGGAAGCAGTCAACCGTGTCAAACGGTTGTCAGGTCAGCGGTCACTGAGAAGCTGGTGCCGGGCTTGGGTTTAGGGCCCAGGGGCCATGTTTCGGCAGAGCCGCGGTTACCGCTCAGGTGACAAGTATCGATCCTTCCGCAGGCCCACAGGGCACGTGCCCTGGCGAAATTAGCTGCAGAGTTGAGAAGTCCCTGGACGTGAAGGCTCTGGCTGCATCGCGCCTCCATCTAGCGTTGGACAAAGAATTAAGAGGCATGCAATTAGAGCGTGCCCAGGTATCAGGTGGGCATCGACTTCAAGAACTGGCTGCAGTCTGCTGAGGAGGAGCTGGAGGTTGGGAATTGCTGCAGCCCATCCAGACTGAAGCTACATACGAAAGAACAGATCGAACACAGTTGCAAAGTCGTGCCAGGTGGATGGTCTGCGAGTGGAGGGCCATATCCCCGCATGGCTCCGCGGTCACTTGGCCACGGCCCCTTGTGGTACGAGTGACGGAGGGTGATGGCTTGTTGGAACTCAGCAATGCAGCAGCTTGCTCGAATTCCAGAAACGATAACGATAGCGAACGCCTTTCCGTGCCGGACAGGAGAAGACATTGTCTGTAACGTTGATCTTAGAAAGGATGCCGCAGCGTTTGAGCCAAGCCTGTGCTGATGATTGTGAGCGCACAGTGCACCTCTCTAACTCGTTACCTACCCTGCGTCAGCCTAGAGAGTTACAAGAGAGCTTCAAAGACTCTTTGCAGATGATGCATGCCTAGACGACCAACGAACCTGCAGCAACCCTGTCGTCTTAAAGCCTCACGCTGCGGCGTCGACATGCTGAGCGAAACGACAGATGACGAGGAGCGCACTCGGCTATTGGAGCATCCGGGAGTCAGTTCCCTCCGGAGGACCTGGAAGATTCTTCACCAGGGATCCAGGGCCGCTGCCTGGAAGAGATGGACGTTCTTGAGCAGGAGGAGGCTGGTGCAATTCGGGAGTCATGAACCGAAACATCTAGAACCCCTCCCCGGCAGGAAGTGCTGCGGCCGCGGCGAGAGCGCGGAGTTCCAGGTACTTGACAGACTTTCTTTAACTTGTTCGGTTTGTTTTCCCCAGTGCAAGTGCAGGTGCAGGGCAGATCCTTTCTTCGGAGAGGGAACGCGGCCTTGAGGAGACCTGGCAAGATACTCGTAACAGCCGGCATTGACACGTGAATTTCTCTCTTCCGTTCTACTCTGGCACTGCCAGGACTTTGCCGTGGCCTTTGGTGGTGGTGGTGTACGCTCAGGTCAGATACTTAGACTTTGGGTCTGTAGCTTTCTCCACATGTATGTCAAGACAACCGGCGAATTCTGTTCTTCGCCAGGGGCCTTCTGCACTGGGGCACTGTGGGCGCTAGCCGAGGCTTTTCGCAATGCAGTAGGTTTGTTGCCTTTGCTCCGATTCTGCTCTGTGCATGTCGGATCTTGCCACTTGGGTTGTTTATGTTGATTCCTGGTCGCCAAGTGAGAGAAGCGATCCCTTTTCAGGTAGGCCGTCTACGGCACGTGACGCATCTGTCCTCTGTGTCAGGAGGCAGGGACAAGAGGTAGGACGCGTGTCTTGTGACATGTGCCTTGCGAATCCAACTGGCTGGGAAGTGCCATCACATGCTGGAAGGCTCCATCGCGGCTTCCGGCTTCGCCTCTTTCCTGGTGGGCCGGCAGCCGCCCGCGGACAGCAAGCCAGATGCCGCCGCAACTGATAGCTGGTACAGAGCAACTTGGCTAAGCTCCGAAGGTCTGAGACTACGACACGACTCATCAGGGCTCTTGACGCATTGCTGAAGCGCCGCAGGAGGTTGTGGCGGAATTCATCGAGCGCAGCCAGCGAAATGCGGGCTACCTGGTATCTTTCAACAATCTTTGGAAGGTGAGCGCCCAAGCTGTCGCGGGTGTGACGTATATAGCTGCACCGTAGTAGCTGCCTGGGGCAGAGGAGGAGGCTGTCTCCTGTCTCCCGCATCAGGCACCTGAAGATGACTCGTCTTCAGTCCCCAGAATCCTGGACCTGCCACTAATGGGTGTGGTGGTGCTGGGAGTTCTCGTCGCTGCTCCGGTGATCTTCTGTGCTCCTCCGGCCGCAGGAAGACTGTTCTGGTTGTGAGCCAAGGGAAAAGTGTTCGTCGGTGTACACAGCAGGCAACAGGTCACTGCAACAGGTCGGTGTCTCTCCGACACACTTTCTCTCGTTCTGACATCCCTGTGCATCGTGCGTGCACATGGGCGGGGGGCGCGGGGGTGGCTCGGGCGTCGACAGAAGCAGGAGTCGCATGCACTGTCAAGACGTGCATACTGCGTGGCATTGCAAGCAAGTCGCCACAAGCGCGATGCCGACGTTTTCCAACCAGGGAGTGAAACATTCAGCGCAGTCCCAAGGGCAGTGACTTTACAGACTTATTCTCGATCATCGAAGAACTCGTGAATCTAGCGGTTGGCTCTACTTAAGCCTCTATCTTTCTGGAGCACAGGTCTTTTATGTAGTGCCCGTCTCGTTGCTCATAGAGGCAGGGGGCACAAGGCTTGAAAGTCCAGACAGCTCTCGACCGTGGTTCCAGGCGTACTGGGGTGGAACGCTGCGTCGCGGGCTCAGCCTGAAAGTGCACCCGTTCGCGACAGATCCGGCATCGAGGACACTGCTTTTGCATTCCGCCGAGCACCAAAAGGAAGTGTTCGGTAGCTGACTTGATCCAGCTCTCCGGGTCGGACGCCCAGTGAAGCAAGTTTGGCCATGGCCTGTTCAACCTTCAGTTTGTCACTGGAGGGCCGTGAGCGGCTACGTCATCGGCTGCTTCGTCTTGGCACTGGTGGTGCTCGCACCTTGGTAGCGTCAAGTGGGACTACGCCGCCCACCGACTTCCAGGGCTGAAAGTGAGTCAGCTGCCACGTGCCAAGTCTCGTGTTCGTTTGGATGAGACCATGGGTTCTTGTGGCACGCGCTGTCATGTTCCTGTTTTTCAGGCATTCATCTACAAGTGCACCCATTTAGAGGGGCGGCGGCCGACAAGGCAAGGGCTTTGCAAGGCCTCAGGAACAGTAACAGTGTTGAACAGTTGAAGGTAAACCGAATGCGATGTTGTCGACGCATTTTCATGGCATCTGTCTTGCATTTTGCTGTAGCATTCCCAGACTTCCGAGTCGACAGGAGATACCTTTACTGGCGGTCATGTGTCAACCTCAGCAGTCGATGGCTGGTCACTGGCTCAGTTGGCTGATATCCCAGGATGCTGAGCAACTTCGCAAAAATCGCTTTTCAGCACCACTTCACATGGCCTTGTCTCTGGAAACTTGCACAATCCCACAGCAGCGCCTGCCAGGTCATGCTGCTGTTGATTCTGGCTACTGTCTTGTTGGTCTACACAGCTGACACTTGGCCGCAGAGCATCTTCAAACTCTGCCACAAGACGTGTTGTTTCTATTCTGGCGGTCGGTCAGTCACGGCTTCCGCAAGTTTGACTGCGGGACCCCTGACGAGAAAGGGAGGAGGGGGGAAGACATCAACAGCGGAACCCGATGAGAACCCAGGTTCAACCCAGGTGCGAGTTCCTTCTAGGTTCAAACCCAGGTTCAAGCCCAGGTTCAACCCAGGTCCCAAGTTGAAGCCAGGTTCAACCCATTTTCAACCCGAGGAATGGTGGGATTATGGCGAGCCCCTCGCCATGCCAGCGTCGGTGATGCGAGTCGAATGCCAGTAAATCAGCGATATGAACGTGAGGGGTTCCTTCACTGTTCTTTCTGTCTCTGGCATAGCCGTGCAGCACTTCACGAGGCTGCGGGCCTCGGACGGCGCAAATGTTTGCCAGCATTACTGGAGGCAAGTCAACAGAACACAAGGAGGCCTTGGACATCGGGCGTGCTCTTTTGCATCGTTGGCATCCGTCTCGTGATCGGGATCACTTCCATGTCTCTTTTGTTGTCTGTGCAGATGGCCTTTGTTCTGGCGTGTGGCCGAAAGATGCACACTGGCCAGGGCAGCAAAGCCTCTTGTCCTGTTCAGACTTCGGCTGATCCCTCCTTGCTACAAGTAGAGAATGTAGTGAAGGTGACCCTCCACACGTTTTTGTGCAGCTGAGATCTTCACGACTTCAGACTCGACACGATAGAGCGCATCGAGGAGTGTCAGGGGGCGATAAACTAAGGGCTCGTAGTTGCTCTGGGCAGCTGTAATCTGATTCCGCAGTCTCATCGAAGTGTCGTTTTATCTGCAGGCAGGTGGGAATAAAGACGCTTCAACAGGAAACCGATTGCATTCACGTGCACTGCAGTTGCAGGAAGTGTTACCTTTCTATCTCAACTCCAGCACAGCTGAAGGCCGGCCGTCGTTTCCATTGCTTCTTGGATCTTCCTGCATAGCTGGCGGCAGCCGTCTGTAGCCAGCAGCCAGCGAGTCGCGCCGAGCCGCTTGATGCAGCTTGCATTTCTGCATGATGTGGTGCAGGTGATCCAGATCCAAGTTTCGGTGAGGACCCGATCGTGCACGAGCAATGCACGTGCTGCACCATCCCTGAAGTGGCAGCAAGATGAGTCCTATGTGCTTCGTGAAAGCTCGGAGGGGCAATCCGAAGGGATGCTTGCAGCTTGCAGGAGAGGCGCGTGCCTTTTATCTTGCTCTTCTTCCTCGTTACGGTTCTCTTCGGCCTAGTGGCTTTGAGCTTCAAAGCACTGGGTTGGGGTGGTGTCCTGCGTGCCGCTTGGATCGGAAGCTGCGAAGAAACGTTGCTTCTTACAGCAGCCCAGAGTGACTTTCTCAGGTCTTCCTGGTTGTGCTGCTGCCTCTCTGGTTTATCTGGCCAACGACATTTCTGCTCCAGTGGCGTATCTTCGGACCTGTAACGCACCAGGCGTCCTGCTTTGTGCGGAGTTGAGCGAACGTCCGTCATGTGTGAATGTCTTGTGCAAATCGGTCTGCTTGCAGCCTCTGTTCACGCCGCTCTTCGGGACGCAAATCTTCGGTCAATATTCTGACAAAGCCTGGAACTGCTTCACGGGCATTTTCCTGACTCTGGCGATTGCGTCTTGTCAATCTTCCTTGCCGGTTGTGGCACATAAGACTGCAGATTCGGCTTGTGTGGAAGACGAACGATTCCCATGAGGTAGCCATGCCCGGCTTTAACTTCTTCCACCGCTTCGTCCACATTTATTTTCGTGTGTTCTGGGCTGAGTCTGACACCGTGAGACCGTCGCACCTGACCGTGGGACATGTCGATATCCTGATTTTGCGGGACAGCAATGGCAAAGAGGCTAGTCTTTTTGCACAGGTCTCTGCAGCGTGCATTTTATTGCGGTGGCAAAGATGTTCCCACCCCGGAGGCGTCCGGTCGGTGAGGGTGTGATGATTGCAAGGGCATCGCTTTTCGTTGAGTCACCACTGCCACTTGCCGGGCCTTATTTAAGCACTGCTCTCACATTCTTTGCTGCCAGGTGGCCAAATGCCCATGGTCTCCAATACTGTTGTTTGGCGCCTTGGACGGAAAGTGCAAGCAGTTTATGACGGTTCTACAAAACACATGCCTGTGGCCCCGATGGCAGCCCCTATAGCCAAGGCCATGCTGCATGCATGTCTTGAGCTGTTGAGGTGCGACCCTCAATGAATACCAACGACCTCAAGATGACGAGCCCCACTGCCTTTTTGTCAGTCCCTTACAGAGCATTTGTTTCTGGAGCAATTCGAGCCATCACTTATCCGTGCTGTTGATCACTATTGCACACGGCATCCGAGTCCTTGTCGCAGCATGCGATGGGATGCGAAAGGCGTGCTGCGTTCTTCCGGCAGTTTTTGAGATCCTTGCAGCTCTGATGCTTTGTGCGCCCAAGACCGACCAGGACAAAGTACCTTCGAAGCCCGCAGTGGATGACTCTGTCGAAGTGCATGACCCTGAGCTGCGCGGCCATTGAGACTTGTCTGTTAAGGTATCCATGTTGCTGCATAACGACAAGCCAAGCGTCTCGTCACTCCTACTGGTAGCAGCTGAGGATGGATTCGTGCCGGTGGCTCAGGAAGTTGAAAAGTTGAGCGAGAGAGAGAGAGAGAGAGAGAGAGAGAGAGAGAGACAGAGAGAGAGAAAGAGAGAGAGAGAGAGAGGCAGGGACAGAGAGAGAGATCAACATGCCCACTCATCCCGATTCGGTTATAATCGAGGTTGACACAAATAAACAAGTGGCACACGCGAATCCTGCTGCTCGTCCGCAGCTTTTGGATGGCACTCCCAACGGATTTTTCGCGATTGCAACTTCCGACTCAGGATGGCGATGCTCAACCTGACCCAAGGTGACTGGCTCCGCTTTGACATGGGCCAAAACTGGCACAGTTTATCGAAGCGCCCCCCGGCAACAGTTGCCGAATTGGCCTTCGACGGGGTACCTGCTTGAGCTTCGTGTTGAACCAATGCTGAGCAAGCTCATTGTAGTTTAGTTGCTCGTCCCCACGAATTTCAGCCTTGGATGCCAAGGATACCCATCGCTTTTAGAGCAGCCGCATTTGGCCAGCCTGATCGACAGGTGGGGTTCAGAGGACCCCGAGGTTGGACTCCTTCCTGATGCCTGTGTCCAGGCTTCCGGAGATCTTGACGTTATCGTGCATCTACTTGTTCTGCTTGCTCTTCAACCTGAATTCATCCTATAGTGCCGGCCAGAATGAGGTCGCCGCTTTGCTTTCAACTTTGTTGGAGTAGATGTTGAGCAAGACGACTTTGGGGCATGCCTGCCAAGGAAGCATGCACACCTTTCTGGATTTTCAGATTCCTCGCAGCCGCCTTCATCGGCGTTTTCATAGGTTGGTGTTGGGAAAGATTTGGTTGTAGGTTGTTTTCTGTGCCAGATGCTTGCGCCAGTGTGCATAACCTTCACACGATGTCAGATGTGGATGCCTTGCACAGTAGCAGTCCATCCTTTGCTACCGTGGACCCCTTGCACACGTGGCCCGTGAGCACGAAAGAACTTCGGCCGGGTCCAATGGCAGCGCTTGCTGAGAGGCGGCCTCAGCTTCTTCGGCCACGTGCGATGCTTCGCGTGGCTCCTTGCATCTCCGGTAATCCGTCAAATCCACATGCCAGGACCTCAGCTCCGCTGTGAAAGGCATAGCTTTGGTGTGCCCCTCACACGAGGTTCCTCATGCATCACGAGTGCATGGAGAACCCGCCCATGTATCTCTATCTCACGGCATCTCGGCCTAGAGGAGAACTGACAAGATTCGGCAGGTGAATGTTCATGTTTCTGCCAGGCCTGCCGCTTTCTTTTTCTCGTGTGTCGTGTTGTGCCGCTCTGCAACACTTCGGCATCCTCGCCGAGGATGGCGGCCCCGTCGAGGATCTAGGACGGGCCGGGGCTGCGACAGTCACGGATTCAAGCATCTTCAAGTTTTCGCTTTGGCAGGACTCGTTCAACTCCTGAGGCGCCGGCGCCGCTGGATCTTGTCGTTTGACGTGGGCGACGACCCGGCTTGCGAGCCTTACTCGCATGCAGCGATGGGCCAGTCGTTTTCCTTCGGGCGTGCCGTGACATTCAGGAGCTGATCGATCTTCGTGCATCGATAGCTCTGGCACGAAAGGCTGCTTGTCTCCGTGAGATGCGAGCAGGGCCCACATCGTTGAATTCGGCAATAATTCGCTTCAGCCCATCAGCTGGGTCTCCGAAGGCGTGCTTTAGGTACCGGTGGTAAGAGACAGAGCTCCAACTTTGCACCAGCTCAACACCCCTGCTTGAATCCGTTGAGGAGCGAATCTGCAGTTTTTACCTGGCCGAGGAGACCGATTGGTGAGTCATGCCTACAGGGGTTCTGCAGCGATTCGGCCAAGTTTTGCTGGGTCGATCTCGCAGCGTCGCAGGATCCCAGGAGGGACTTGGAAGAGGTGATCGACGAGTTTGCCAAAGGCCGCGAACGGTTTCTTCATCTCGGCCACTTGGTTGAAACTTCATTCGCGCTGAGCCGCACATCCTGCGCTCGTCACAATGCCACTTGGAGTGAGGTGTCCTTTACAAGGGTGCGACGGGCGAGGAACGAGAATCTGTAGCTGCAGAAAGCACATGAGCTTGTGGAGCTCGTGCAGGAGGTTCTCGGAAGGCAGGTGAATTCACCTGTCTGAGCGCGGGTGTAATCTCAGGAGATCGGCGAGATCTTCCACGTCCGAATGCGCCTTTTGGACCCCCCAACCGGGGTCGCAGTCCAGCCCCTCGTGCAGGCTGAGGAGATGGGGCTGTATGGGGCTGTTACTGTTTTCTGCAAGTTGAATAAATCGGGATGTCTGGTAATCTGGTAAACCAATCTCCAAATGAATGCGGTTCTCCGTCCATGTCGGAGCATTCGCTGCATTTTTGCTACCGCCTGCAGGAAGTGACCTCGCAGAGGACCGTGCTTTCCGCAACACGCCAGATGGCCATCTGCCAGATAAGTGTTCTCAAGCGGGTTTTGATCGATGCTCTAGTAGAATCGTCTCTTCTTGTACTAAATGTAGGAGAACTCGCAGACACTGCACCTTCTCAGTTTAAGCGTTGGCTTGGTGCAATACGTGCTCTCCATGCAGGGTTTAAACGGCTCATAGTTGCGCTTCTAGGTTCAATCTGGATTTGCGTAAGAGTCTTGCACAGGTCTTTTAGCAGTATTTCTGTGTGTCCCCAAGGTCCATCTTTGTCCACCCCATGCTGATCTGGAGCTCTCTGCACCCATGAATGCTGGGCCACAGGAGTTGCAGGGAGAAATATTCACTGCCCACACGGATTTCGCAACACTCAAACATCGTGCTGGAATCCTGAAGTCCTTCGCTTCTTGCCGGTGCGGTTGCTTTGTGTCAAGTCAGAGTGTTGCTGAAGACGAAGGCCAGCTACTCTGAGAGGACTACACCTCGTCGCAGACGTCAGGCAGCTCGGATAGCACGCCCACCCAGAAGAGGGCGGAACTCGGAGGCAGGAGCAATCAAGCACGAGCTTTCGTGCTTATGTCATCCAGATTCTCCTTCAGGCATCTGCTGCGAATGCTGCCATGAGTGGGCACACGGTGGCGCATGCGGGGCTTTCCCGAACACGCACACGATCAACCAGTTCTTCACGCCGAAGGCACGCAGCATTGAGGATCAAGCACGCCTGAATTGTGGTCTACCTTCGTCCAGTCGCTTGCTGATGATTCTGTGCCGGCAGTTCCTGCGTTCACAGCACTCTTGCATAGGTTTGGGCAAACTTCTGCCGGCTTGGTCGGGAGACTTATCTCAACTAGACTGGACCGGCAAAGACGCTGGTTCTCGGAGTTGCCTCCATGATCAAAAGTTGTCACGAGAAGCGAAGCGGATCTGCGAGAGGGCGCTGGTTTTGCTCTTTCATGTTTCTGGTGGCCCAATGCATTCTCCAGTTATCACTGAGGAAATGGCGGCCCCGGCCATCGAAGCGCTGACGAAAGCGCAGGCTCTGCGTGATGCGACATCTCCTGAAGGCACCCTCACAACTCTGCTTGTAACCAGGTTCGCGAAGCCAACGCACGCAGGAACGCTTCCAGAGGTTCGTCCTGGTAGCCGGAAGCCTTGAAGGGATGCCCGTCCAGAGAGCAGATCACGGTCCATTCTACTGGCTTAGGTCCTTGCGACCTTGCCCTTCGGGCGCCCCGGTGAGTGGTCTCTTCACGTTTGCAGGCCAAAGTGCCTCTCAGGATGCGTTACGCGAGCTGCTCAAAGGCCGCTTCCAATCCTCCTTCAGAACCGCAAAGACTCCAAATCACGAGTGCACGATTGCACACGTTGCACACCCTCGCCCTCTCCGCTTCAGTGACCCAGGTGCACGCAGGGCCAGCGAAATTCGAGTTCGGAGACGACGAGTTCGTAGACTGGGTTGACGGGCAGGCCAGGCCGCATTGAGCTGAGGCGTTTTGCTACCTGCTACCTACCATCCTCTGGAGTGACACAGCCGGGCATCAGTGATCCGTTGCGGACAACTACATAATTCTTGAGCTCAGTGAACAAGGTGGACCTGGAGGGTTGCATCACGTGCTCTTTGAAATGCTCTCATAGGCTTTCCACTGATCTTGAGTCCGGCCCTCCCAGCGCGTCGCAGGCCATGCTGTATCGCCTGAAGATTGGCGGCGACGGCGACTGCCAGTACAAAAACAGGTTGCGTGCTTTGTATCCATACCCTTCAGCAACGGACAAAGTCCATTTTTGGCGTTTTGTGCTTCCGCGAGGTGGCTGGACACCTGGAACCATCGCATGCATCGCGAGGCCAATGGAGGGGGCGCTGAGTATCGGAGTAGCACCAAAAATCTACCTCTGCCCGCCAGGCCGGGCGCATTGCCGTCCGGGAGACCTGCTCCAGGCAACTCGATAGCTCGACGCGACGCGACGCTTCCCGAAGTGGGACGGAGGGATCTGTGTTCAGAAGTCTGCAACGGTCTGGAGGCCATCTCTCAAGAACTTCTGGGAGCGCTTCATGTACCTCTTCAGCCCTCCCAACAACGAGAACGGCAACCTCCACATCTCCCAGGCTCCTTGAAGCTTTGTTGCTTTATTCTGACACCTGAAGTTCCGTAGCCCTAATTGGTACCTTTGTGCTCTGAGATCGCCGGCTCGCGGTGTGTGTCCATGTCCGTTGGATCGCTGCGGGCTCAATACGCATACAAGTACTACTTGTACAAGTGCTGCTAGCTCCAGCTCCAGTGCACACGGTTGTTGCGGCTTGCTCTTTGCTCCCGTTAAAAGGGCCTGCCTCGAATTCGAGCTGGACAAGATGAACACGCTGGGCAAGGCCGGGGCACTACCGGTGCTCGTGTGGAGCAGAATGCGTTCGGTGTAGCTATGTGCACACCGGACTTCACTGCCCCTTGGTACGAGTCAGAGATGTTCCATTCGTGCTGTATGGTAGGGGCTCAAGAGCGGCACATCGTTGTCGAAAGGAGGTATAGTATGGACTCGCTCCGGTCCATGTCCTTCCACACATGAGTATGGCGTCTAAGTGTTTGCGTATCTGACATGTGTATCGTTGTTAACTCAATTCGTCTATGCGATGACGGTCGTGTTTGCATGCGGCCGTCGTCGATTGGTTTTCCGGAAGCACTCAGAGCCCCCAAGTTGCACCATGCATGCCGAAAGGTGCCGTTTGATGATGAGCTAGTGGAGGGAGGTCCTCTGATCTTCCACGCTGAGTTGCGAGCTCAGACAGAGTGCCGAGTGTTGTACATTCCGCGTGGTGTGAGATTCAAGTCAAGTCTTCAAGGCCTCATGTCGACAAGGACACAGGCGCTTTCCGGTGCTTGTGCTGTGGGGCACAACGAGCGCTCAAGCACTGCACGCATTTTCTTCTGCGCAAGGTGAGTGGGTGACATGCGCGATCCAGCTCCGCATCAGCCCTGAGGACCTGAGCGGGGGATTTCTTGCGGGCCTGGCTGAAGTCTGTCCGGAAGTCGTTCTGAACCATCAGCTGTTCGTCGAGCTGTTGGTGCCGCGGTAGTTCCCAGGACATGGGCCTCAAGCCGGAGTGCCCTTCCAAGCAAAGCACGTGCATTATACCCTCAAGTCTTGGCTGATCTCGGAAATGCAGTTGAAAGTTGCATTGTGCTAGACCAAGTTTTTGTCGATGTGATGGCGGCTGCAGGTATGTTGTGTTCTCTGTGATGCCGGATACCTCGTCAGCCCCCCGGTGAAGGCGTCTTTGAGAATCTCCCCGACCTCAGCTAATTGGAAGAGCCAGCTCCAGCAGCCAGATCGGAGTACAGCTGAGAGTCCCCGTGGCCCGTGAAAGCCTGAGGAAGACTCCCGGGGCACCGGTTCAGCGCCGCCTGATTCGTCGCATCTCGACGGAGCCGAAAGCTCAGTGGATCGGTTCGTCGCTGTCATCGCCGCCGAGCAGTCGGAGACTCCCGCGGAAGGGGCGGCACATGGCGGAACTGAGGTATCCGTCCCCTGTCCACACCATCGCACTGACGAAGAAGTACATCGTCATGATCCAGATTCCATACCCGTTGAACTGGGCTGGAAGCTTAGGCTTAGGCCACCCTTACACGGTTGTTCTGAGATGAAGCGTAGATGCGAATGAGTGGGCACTTGGCTGCCAGCATGCCAAGACCTGTTCTCGTTTACATTCGTTTACACCCTGGAAGCAGCGTCAGAGAGCCGGCCTTACGTGTCGCCAAAGGATGGCATGCTCAATGCGGAGGCGAGATGGTTGATGAATGGCCCTTTACTCGGATGATGCGACAAATGGCATCTTTCGCTTCGGAACAGATGAACAGCCCGGTTGCTTTCGCCGACCTCTGAGCCTGCCGTCATGTCCTCAGGTGTTTACGAAGGCAATCTCAACGACTACAACACTTGGCAACCAGAGCGCCCCAAACTTGGTGCACCGTAGACTGGTTTTCGTTTCCGCAGCTCTATGTTTATGAGATGCAGGCCCCACGACCATCCGCATCATCAACCGAGTCACGGGCGAAGAGACCCAGACCTTCGAGACCGATCCGTACCCCTGGCACGTCACACTCCTTTAGCGAATCCGAATGCATTTGCAAAATAGACACAGACTCAGAGCATCGCAGCTGCAATATGCCGACACTGAGCGCGTGTTCCGGCAGCCTACTTTGCTCGATACTCTGCCGTGACAGCTCGGTCGTGACAGGTTTTTCTTCTTCCACATCATTAACTCTTTTGAGGCGCGATGAGTAGGTCCACACTTCCTCCTGTCTGTGAGAACTTCGGACTCAGCTGGGTACCTGGAGACATGTGTCAATGGCCCTTAAGAGCATCCACCGGCAGGAAGCGGGTGGACCAACCGGCGAGGACACGTTGGGCAATTACGTTCTTGCAAAGACCAGGTGTGGCAGTTCCAGTCAAGCCTCCGACAACAGTTCATGCCGAGTCGTAAGAACGCAATCGCAGAGCCACCGAACTAGTCAAAGGATGACAGCAAAAGTTTGCCTTTTCTTTCCTGCTTGCGCCTGTTAATGCTTTTGCAGAGGGAGTCGCCTCCGGCTTCGTTCGGGGTTTTACACACATCATTGCAGATGTTCGATTTGAGGACGAGATTGTTAACCTCGACGTTGTCTGCTACAACGAACCGTCGCACTCTCAAGACAAGACGAGCTCAACTTCATGCTGTTTTGGTAGTCTCTGGGACACACAGCTCTCAGATCCTCGGCCGTCGACTGAGGCCTGTGGGCTTCCCTCTGCGACAGGCCAGGAGGGAAAACGCTGTGTTTGTGCCTTTCACCCTGGGCTTCAAGACTTCTGCGCGGTTCGCTGACCCTTATCGCAGGCAAGATCTGGTGACGTCGAGGATTGGCGCGGTGGTGGTGGAGAGGCCTCCGGGCGTTGGGCTGCCTCGACAGGGGCTGCAGCGGCGGTTGTGTTGGGAACACCGCTCCGCCAGATTGTTTTGCATCGTCCAGAGCACTGCAACCGGCAGACCATGGCAGACCAAGACATCAGAACATGTGGAATTTGCATGGCACGTCAGGTCCGACGGTTCGCCATGAACATCAGGCCAGCTTTCGCTTCAATGCTTCCTCGCTTTGCATATCTCTCTTTCTGAGTCCGGAGTCTAAGCCCTGAGGACGGGAGAGTGCACCTGCACCGGCTGGCCGGACAATTGCTTCGACGAGCCGAAGATCAACCCAAAGGTTGCTCGTTAACGTGGTGGGATTGTTGATGAAGGAACTGTGGCCTACGTAATGCTGTGAAGGTCGACGGTATCCGGCACAAGTACAGCTGGGGCGTCATTGATGACAACGGCATGTCGGACACTGAGAGAGATGAAGGCTTTCTGCACATGGCCCGAGCCGTTGTTGCCGAATGCCTCGGAGTACATCATGCTCCACAGCATGCACCCCCGGCGCTTCGTTTCTTTGATCTTTCTCAGGCTTCGCCTGACGAAGCAGGACCACGACAGCCACGAAGTTTGGAAGCCAGGGCCTGTGCTGCCGTCCGCCGTCTTGATGCCCCCCCAAATCACAATCCTTCGAATCTTCAGTGTTGTGATGTTTTGTTGGATGATGATGCATTGATTAGAGGGATGTCTCTGCTGCTAGCCGCCAACAGCTCACCTCTACAGATCGGAGAGTGAAATGTAGAATGTAGGCAGCCTGGGCAATGCAATCAACAGCAGAAGACAATGCGGCACCCTGCCAGACCTCAGGCCATCACTCGTCCAGCACTCCTCCCTTCCAGAAACCCAGAAATCACTGGCACCTGGGAGTCATGGAACAAATGCCATGTGACGCTTCTGACCAAGAGTCGGACTGAGAGGAAGGAAGCTGGGTATGAGTTCAGACAGTTGAAGAATTCACCTGATGTTGAATGTAGACTTGGAGTGAACGAACCGTAGCAAATCTGATGAATTGCAAGGATTGCACATGACATCCAGTCGGTGCCGGTGTGGTCATCTGTCCGCTAAGACGGCGAGCAATTCGTGGCGGTTCGCCGTACGCGGTCTTTAGCGTTTGAACAGCCCATTTGCCCCTTGTGCCACCTCCATGAAGGTCAGCTAAGCCAGGGTGTGCCATGCACCGAGGTGGGAAGGCCAAGATGTGTCCCGTGAATTGCCTTGGCAGCCAGTGTTTGTGCTGCAGCCCCAGAGCAGGGCAGAGCAGGGCGTCGTGATTGGAGAAGAGCTGTAACACAACATCGAGTGGCTCCGTGCACTGAGGCCGGAGCCATACAGCAACGAGGAGGACGCAGGTTGCAGCTCCTTTCACATGTCGTTCGTCGATAAAGCTCTCTCATTGGCTTCGTTTGGCAGCTGGCATGCAGAACAGAAGCAAGCACTCGAGCGGGAGTGTCCGAACAGGTGCAATTCTGAGCTTCGTTCGGGACCAGCTATTGCCTCAGAGATCGAGGAGTGTCAGATATCGGTGTTGCACAGACATGCCCAAACACAATGGAATAGTTCGACATCAGGCAGACCATGACTTTTCCAGATTTGCAGAAGCTGAAGGCCCACCGGTGATACCTTCTGCGTCGTCCTGGACTCGAAGACCATGGAGGAGCAGGCGCTTGCATTGTCGGGCAGAGACACTGTCGCGTCAGCACTTGCGTCTGCAGTAAACCTAAAGAATCACGTGGACGTGCTGTCTCGCAGGCTCGCATCCATTTTCCTCAAGGTCATCACGTGCCTCTGCACCTTAATTGCAGCCAGTGCGGCTTTGGAGCTGCCTTTGAAGCTTCCCAGACAGCACAGCATCGATGTTACACCCGGCATCTGCAAGGCACGGCCATGGGACTTTCATCTCTGGCGGCGTCTGAGAGGCCGCAAGCCGAAGCAGCAGCATCTCACGTGGTCGAAGTAATGACTTAAGCGTTGCTTTCGCTGCTGATGCGGTCGCTGCCGGCCCTCTGCTGCCCTCAGCCCGAGGGTCACAGCCTAACAAGCTTCGATGCGAAGCTGCGGCCGCTTCGTTCGCTCCAGTGGAAGCTTAACACCAGGCTACTGGTAGCATCCAGCGAACAAGACTCTGCTGGAGCGGCGCTCATTATCGATTTTGCACATGAAGAGCGTATCTATGTGTCGGCCTGTCGAAACGGGATCATGCTCCAAGCCTTTCGTATGTTCCTAACACCCTGGCTGAGATGCTCCAGGGGGCTTTTGTAACACAAACTTGGAGATCCCTGGCAGCCATCAGCGTTTTTGTCCGACTTGCAAAAGAGTTCTCGGCCAACCTGGGCAGTTGCTGTATATAACATCATACTTGTGTACAACAACGAGATGTGTGACATTGTCGAGTAACAGCAGCACAGAGATATCAGTTACCAACACTTCCTGCCAAAAGCAGCGGTTGAGAGTTCCTGACTGACATTCGTGACTTTTTGAACATGTCGGTCCAAGTAGGAATCCATACGCTTAGCGAACATACGCGCCCCGTCGCGTTCATTCATCCAGGCGGGCATGTCTTACAATGTGGATGTTTTAGGATTAGGTCTTCAGCTGAAATCCATCCGTGTGAGTTGTACTGGATGGTGCTGCATCCGTTCGCCCGTGGATGCCATATCACATCATTATGTCCAGCGTCCACACAAGTGGACCGGCCACGTCGGCCACACTGCAGGAAAGGAACAGAATCCAGGCCACGCTAACTTCCAGCTTTCAGGCTCTTTGGCATTCCTTCCCTGTGGGATCCCACTGACCGGCCGCGGCTGATGCTTGACGCCAGCCCCGTAGGTATGTCAGAGCACAAGCAAAGAAGGAGATGCCCCAACTTTCAAATTAGCTCCCACGTCGAAAAGGAGCCCCAAGAGAAAACAACTGACCCGCGGGAGCTCTCCATCGGAGCTTCGTCGGAGCTTCGTCACTTCGGGGCCGCGGCTGGCAGCGCGGAGATTTGAGGCTCATGGCCGGGAGCTCAGCCGTTACAAGGAGCACCGCAAGAGCTCGCAGCGCCGGACACTCAGCTGAGGTCCGTCGCCAGAGCCTCCAGCACTCCTTCGTCGCTTTATGTGGAGCATGCGGGGTCGACCTTCGAAAAACGGAGAATGTCGAAGGGCTCTGCACTAATCCGGTCGACCCGGCCTGTATAGCGCTCCAGAGCGAGCGATCCTAGGATGCAAGGAAGCAGTCGTCCCTTCAAGTGGACATGAGCTGCTAGGTGGGACAAGTTGCATATGAAAGAAATTATCGCAAGTAACACAGCCCCCAGTTGCAGAGTAGAGCTGGTCCCACGACATTTTAAGACCAAAGTTTGGAGCTATCTGCACAAACAGACTAGCCAAGCCTTGTGAGTGCTGACTTTTTGACGTTGCTGCGGCTGACTGCAGCACTAGAGTACAATTCGACCGTCCTTGTTTTTCGGGGAACCCGGCTCGCCGCCAAAAGCCAGATCGAGAAGTTGCTTGCAGGGCCCTGTGCCATTCCTTTCTGTTGGTTCTCCTTCTAGCAGATTTTAGCATTGTGTTCTTTTCAGTTCTGTCCAGGTTTTTCTTCCATTCTGCGCCACTCGGTCACGTTTAGTCTTTACAGACTCAGCGTGCGAATTCAGTATCATCCCTTACATCCAGGAATCGCCTGCGAATATTTCATCTGCAGCAAGATTCGGTGCCTACCACCCAGCGAAACAGGATAATAACACATGTCAACCAAGACAAACAAGGTACCAGTAGCAGGCAGTATAGTCCCGATTGTGGATGTGGTCTCTTGCGTAAGTTCCTCAATTAGTGTTCCTCAAGCACCTTTGTGCCGTTTACGTCTGACGAAAACGACGCGAACAGATAGCGGATTCTCTCTGTGCGGGGCGGGCCCTTGCCCATTTTGCGCAGTGACTCAATTCTTTGCGTTTTTGACAGCATGTCTTGAACATACAGACGCATGCAACAATCTGGGTACACTGCATGTCACGAAGCTACCGCCACCTGTGGAAAGGTATCAAGCAATCGATGCTATCTGCTGCTGCACCTGCTGATTTCTTGCCTGCTGTGCTTGACAAAGCGCATGTCTTCGGCTACCGTTGCTGCAGTGCTCTCATTTTCCCAAGTCCATCCGCGAAGTTTTGCTCCCCCTCGTCGAAGTTGCGATGGCGGTGAAGATCGGCATCAACGGATTTGGGCGCATCGGTCGCATGGTTTTCCAGGCTCGGGAATCGGAGTTGATGGCTGGATGTCTGCAGCCGCATCAGCAGGGAGGCCTTGCGCGAACTGAGCTGCAGGCAAGCAGTCCCGCACGAAGCCGTGCCAGGCCATCTGCGACCAGGGACTGTTGGGCTCCAAGCTCGATGTCGTCGGCGTCGTCGATATGTCCACCGATGCAGAGCACCTCGGATTTCTGTATTTGTGGCTGAGCATAGAGTAGCCGAGTTCGATGCACGCAAAGGTACTTCGCCTACCAGATGAAGTATGCCACGCTCTGAGTTTCCCGTCGGCCGTCGTCTAGGTCCCGTCGATGCACGGCACCCGTTCGTCCTGCATCCGGGTAGGCCTGCAAGCAGGGTGCAAAAATGATGATATCCGAGGACTCAGTGCATGGCAAGTTTAAGCACGACGTGAAGATCGGCGAGAAGGACGAGCTGATCGTGAACGGCCACAAGATCAAGCAACTTGGCAGCGTTGCCTTCGTGTGCTGAAGTCGGTCGGCAGTAACAACTCGCGCAGGTGCATCCAGGCCAGCCGGGAAGGCCCCAAGGCCCTGCCTTGGAAGGAGCTTTTGCTCCTGAAGCCTTCGAGACTGACAATCCCGACATCTTGAAGTCTCGACAGGACATGGGCGTGAAGTACGTCATCGAGTCCACTGGCCTCTTCGTGGAGTACGAGTGGCTCGTCGACGTATGTTCGGTTCATGGAGTGGTGCCGTGTGCAGTATTTTCTAGCGGGCTCGCTCTGCTCTGAGGAAGGCCGTCGGCCACATCGAGGCAGGTGCAGAGAAGGTGATCATCTCGGCCCCGGGCAAGGGCAACCTGAGCCTTGGGATTCAGTTCAGGCGGTCTTGAGGGGACCTCCCCGCTCCTCGCATGATTCGGACTAGCCCTTTGTCGCCGAGTAGTTGGTAGTTGCGGCATAGCGGGTTCAAGGAAGACGCTGGTCTGCGGCGTGAACCACACGGAGTACGACAAGGCCGCCCCTTGTGTTTCTTGTTTTGCTGTCGGGCAGTGCCGCCGGCCTAAGACTGTGGCGAATCTGTTGGTGTAGCATCGTCCTTGTTTTGGGGGGCAGTGGAAGGCCAACCACCACGTGGTGAGCAACGCCTCCTGCACCACGAACTGCCTTGCCCCGATCTGCCACGTGCTCCTCAAGGAGGGCGTCGGCATCGAGAAGGGACTGATGACCACCATCCATGCTTACACCGCCACGCAGAAGACGGTGGATGGCGTGTCTGCCAAGGATTGGCGAGGAGGTCGCGCAGCCGCATGCAACATCATTCCCTCCGCGACGGGCGCCGCAAAGGCCGTGGGTGAGGTGCTGCCGAGCACCAAGGGTAAGCTTACCGGCATGGCCTTCCGAGTGCCAACTCCGGATGTCTCAGTGGTGGACCTCACTTTCACGGCAGAGAAGGACACGTCCATCCAGGAGACTCGGGTCGCAAGCAGCGGTAGACGCAGACCCCCAGTAGGCAAATGACAGGTGCGTGCTTGAAAGAGTTCTTGCTGCAATCTTGATGATGCAGGAGATCGACTCGCTGCTGAAGGCAGCCTCTGGCAGCTACATGAAGGGTGTTCTCTCCTACACCGACGAGGAGCTGGTGTCCATGGACTTCGTTCACAACATGAACTCCTCCATCTACGACTCCAAGGCCACTCTGCAGAACAACCTGCCGGGCGAGAAGCGATTCTTCAAGGTCGTGTCCTGGTACGACAACGAGTGGGGATACTCCAACAGGGTGGTGGATCTTTTGATGCACATGATCAGCGCATAAGCCCGAGCGCATCGATTCCATTTTGCGCGGAGAGCCGAGCTCTCGTCGCCTGTAGGACACTGTAGGTACATGGCGTCCCGTGCAGTCAGCACACAGACACTGGCAGTTTGCATCGACGTCGCCAGGAAAATGCGGAGATGGGCGTAGTTTTTGGAGCGATGGTCACTGCTGCGCTGATTTATGCTAGATTCTAGATTGCTGCTTAATCTCCATTGCAACTTGAATCCCTGTTGGTGCATGTTCTGCTGCAGTGCTCCATTCCTGCTAGTGCATCCCCGAACTCTTGTCCCATTGTCGAAATTGCAATGGCGGTGAAGATCGGCATCAACGGATTTGGGCGCATCGGTCGCATGGTTTTCCAGGCCAGGGAAGCCTCTTTGCTAGCTGGATCAGTGGACACGCTTAGCTGCGGGTACGCAGTCTCTGTATGTCACGATTATGTCACGGGTAGCTGTGTGACAGGAAGTGACGAGAAGCTGCCGTCGTCTGTCGTGTTGCAAGCTTGTAGGAAGATCGAAGTAAAAACCTGCAAGGCCATCTGCGACCAGGGACTGTTGGGCTCCAAGCTCGATGTCGTCGGCGTGGTCGATATGTCCACCGACGCAGAGCTTCTCGGCTGTCTGCTGTTTCAGGATGCATCACGAAGAGACATCCCGACTCCTGCATGATAGCCAGCCGAGCGCGATCCGACATAAGGTACTTCGCTTACCAGATGAAGTATGCCGCACTCTGAGTTTCTTCATCAACAGATGCAAGATGCCTTCAGCCGCATATCTCGTCAACTGTAGCTTGTTGCTCAGGACACGGTTCACGGCCAGTTCAAGCACGACGTGAAGATCGGTGAGAAGGACGAGCTGATCGTGAACGGAAACAAGATCAAGCAACTTGGCAGCGTTGCCTTCGTGTGCTG